TCCCACCACTCGCTGTATGCAGCCTACAGCGAATAGCGCTTGGGGACACAAGGATGTCCCCAGGAGCACCGAGCCAGGCAAAGCAGCCTGCAGGGATAAGGATGCATGGACCTGGAACAGGAGGGTGTCTTGTCTGCGCAGGAGTGCGCGTGGGGAGTGGGACATCCAAGAGGAAGGGGAAAGGTGTTGGAAGACACTTGCCTGAGCCACCTCAACTTCTCATGTGGGAAGGATGTTAAACCTTCAGGAGACAAAAATGCAGGGACCATCTGCACTATGCACAGCCAGCCCTGCCTGTGCACAGCTGCCCTGGCATCCAAAGTCTCCTATTCAGAGCCTTCTCCTCCAAGAAGTTGGTCCTTAGGCTCACATGGAGAGAGACATCCACCATGTGTGCAAGCATCTTGCTAAAAGAAGTGGTTTTGTGGCCCTGGAATGAATCCCCTCCATCAGTAGGATAATGCCCCCACATGCAATTTCCCTGCATTTTCCCAGCCATCCCTGCTTGGAGCAGCATGAAATCAGTGCAGCCCTATTGGGAGGCAGGACTGGGGACTCTGATGGGACTGGGACATCCAGGCGTCCTCTCCTTACAGGTGAAGTTGAGGGAAGGAGGCTCCATCCATTCCCAGGGAAGGTGGTGGTGCTGGAGAAGGAGAGCACAAGGAGGGGCTGCCTCTGCTCAGTTTTTTGGAGCCACCTGGGCCCTGCGGTGAGGCCAGGTGGGAATCCAAGGAGAGCCAAGAACAGCGGCAGGTGGATTTTGAGGCATGATTTGAAAAGTAAAACCTGCTATGGGTATGGCAACTGCTTAGGAGCACTCGTCCACCAAACCACCTGGTCCCACAGCACGCAAGGAGTGGTGGTCCTTCCCACGGGGTACCTCTTCTCAGCCAGGTCCCTCCCGGCAAAGGTACCCCTGAGGCGGTTTAGGAGTGACCGAATGCCAATGGGAAAGATGGGGGTATCTCCAGGGTGTTTATCATAGTGCTATATGCATAGATACATGCTTTTTAAAGAAGACGTCACCAACAGCAGAGGAAGAACTGGACAAAACCAGAGTGGCTCTCACAAAACCCATCTCCTTGTACAGCTCAGCTGTCAGAGAAACCCGTCCCGCAGAGACACCCGCATTGAGCCTCCATCCCCCGGCACAAACAGCTTTTCCTCTTTTAAAGAGAAATCCCAGGAATGATACAAAGATTTCAAGTGATATCAAGTCAGCTGTGTTCCCAGGTAAATCACCCTTTAGAAAATGCCACTGCTTCAGCTTTACAGCATGTTTCTAACCTAGATTCCTCTCTCATTATGTCTTTGCCCGCTACAGCAAAGAGCCACGAGCTACTAGAAATCATCTCTTCATTATCTACTTGTGCATATTAGTTTAACTTTGGCTCCCTTGATACATGGACCTACAAGGCAGCCTTGTTGAGCACATCCGAAGAGAGGCACTGTCTCAAGCCCCACTGTTGAACTTGGGGTATACTTTTACTCGCTAGCAATATAAAATGAAGATTAATTAATTAATGTATCACCAAGACGTGAATTTGGCTCCCCAGTGCGGAGAAGTTAGGGCAAAGCTCACATCTATTTTGGGCTGTTTATAAACTGCTTCCTAGTTACCCAAGTTTGCCCTTTTCATCGCTAAGAAGACGTGTTATTATGTAGTTACAATATTTCTAAATATACCCACTCCTCCCAATATTTAGAAGGGAATGGGGGTGCCTGGAGCCAGTCCAAGAACAGAGCAATGACTGCAAGAAGAACTGTGAGATGGGCAGAAACGGAATCTTTCCCTTTAAAATATGCTATTTTGCACCTTGGAGAAGTTCCTGCACATCCCAGCTAACAGACAACATCCCACCAGCAACTGCACAAAGAAGGATGGAAGGAGGGAAGAGGAAAAATAGGTGGGGAGAGAGGAGTGCAGCAGCTTGGGTCAGCGTGCTGCCAGCCCCGCGCGGACGCTGCCCTGTCCCGGTCCTGGCAGGCTGCGGGGAGCTGGAGCGGCCGTTTCACCGCGGGGGCTGCGACCCAGACACCTCCCAGTTTTGCAAAATGAGTTTTAGCAACAAAAATACAGCCTGAGGTGCCACTGCGGAGCTGGCCTAGGAACTCCCTAATATTTTCTATCCTCAGTGCCTTCGTGCAAGGCGACTACAGACCTATAAACTCTCTTTAGTTCAAGGACAAGAATCTAACCTCCTGTCCCTCCTTACTGAAGAGACATCACAGACGCAAGATAACATCTTCCAGATGTTCAGAGGGCCAGTCCCACTGGAAGGACCTCCCATTCCATCCCTGTCCTCGCGCCCTTGCTTCCCTCCCATGCTCACGCGTCTGCTTCTTGCTCGCAAAGGCTTTGCTCGATGCGTTTAGGGATGCCAGGCGCTGCGTGGGTTTGTGATGCACAATGCTGGGAGGCGTCAAGGGAGGGAGGCTGGGACGGACATTGACGGGGTGATGCCCGCACTCGGCTCGGGGAATGCCATCCCCCATGGGTGTGCAGCCACAATGCCTGTGTTGGCAGGCACAAGTGCTCTGCTGCCTGCTGCAATGTGAAATCCACTGATAGGAGAGAGCGATTTGTCATCACAGGCCTCAGTGCTCTGAGCAGGGTGAGAGCTCAGGAGCCACCTGGGATGCTCTGGATGGCTCCGTGTTCTCACTCCATCCCGCAGCAAAACACAGCCCTGAGGCTTCCTCGGATGGAGGGAACCATCAGCTTCCTGGCATGGTTTCTGCAATTGCTTCTGCGGTCTAATGATTCCATCCCATCCCATCCCATCCCATCCCATCCCGTCCTCGTGCCCCATGGTGGTGGAGCAACGGCCCTACTCCACCACCGGCACGGGCTGACCTGCCAGCACTGCGAGCTGGCATTTTCTGGGTGCTAATCCCAGGTCCTAACAATGCCAAGGAGGAAGGGGTGGAGGATATTTTTTTCTTGGCCTCCAGGGATTGAAATAGAAGAACAAAGTCAGTTCTACCATATCCAGTTACTGCAATGCAATCTAACTGGGCCAGTTTCACTGACAAATTTGACGAGCAGCCAACTTGCTTTGTCTTCCACGGCCCAAAGCTACTGAAGTTCAAAGGAGAGCACAACGAGCACTTTTCTCAGGACCTCCCCGGAGCTGTACAGCCTCTCCCGGGGCGCCTCTCCTCCCCGCGCCATCCCTTGCCACCGTCCTGAGTCCTCTCCCGTAGCTCACAGACACAGACATACTCACAGGCATCTTCCAAATAACGTAGTGTTTAACCAGACAACTTCCCAGCTCTCTTTTTCTGAAAACCACAAATTCCCTCCCTTCCTCCTGATCATGGACACTTCCCTACCCCAATTCCCAGTCGACTCCTCATCTTCCCACGGTTAAAAACAAAATAGCATCACTAGTGAGGCCGAACACAAGAATCCCCCCTGCCTCAAAAAGCAGCTTTTTAAGGGTCAGCTCTCAGTGCTGGCTGCAAGCCGGGATCACCTGCAAACTCCTGCAGCGTCACTGGGATAAGTGGTCCCACATAACAGCATTTCTCTTTCCAGGCAGGTTTGTTCTGCAGCACCTGCAGTTCCCCACCATGGGGAAATTTTCCACCAGCCCAGTGGTGGGAAAATAAACCCAGCGATCTCATGGCGAGGGGCACGGCGCTTTCTGTCCCCCAGCCCACGCCAAACGCCACATATAGAAGGTGAAGGCTGTGAGTGCCTTGTCCTCGCAGCCAGAGGAAAGCTCCCAGGCGGCGCAAGCCCAAGCTTGGAGAGGGGTGAGGGGAACTGTTTAACCCCTTGTTCAGGTCTCCAAAATAAACCTTCATTTATTTCTCCTATAGCTGCAATTTTCATCTTTTTCTCCCAGTTTTCTCCCAGGCCCTGGTCAGGGGAGGACCCTCCTGTAATAAACTCTGTACATAGCCATAATGAGCTAATTTCAAGTGCTCACGGGCTAGTTAGAGCTCAATTACTCAGCTGGGAGATCCCGGGTACTGCTGGGTGACCTGGAATAGATAAGGAATCGGAGACAGAGCCGTCTCTTAAGAGCGGTATCCACATAAGCCTCTGCTCTGCTTACACTGCTGATACTCCTCAGCCCTGTCCTGTCACAGCAGATGCGAATCCAGCCTGGGACTTGAAATTTGCTCGTGACTACACAGATAAATAGCTGAAGATTCTCCTTCTTTCACTTTCTGGCTCAGCCTGCCGTGAAAAACTAAGGAAACCAAATGGTTCCCAGCCGCCCACGCACGAAGCACATACCAAATATTCTTAGTGCAGAGGTTAATAAATGTTACAGAGAAGGGGGATTGGCTCCCACTAAGGCAAGGCACAAAAAGATGAGAGGGACTGGCACGAAGCTTTCTAGCTCAAAGCAAGCTATTAAAAGATTTGCCAGGTGAAAAGAAGGAGATAAATGTACCCAAATCAAAATAAAAGAATGGATTTTAACTGAACAATAAACACGAAACAAGCAGCTTGGGGCAAAACCTGCTTCTCGGGGCGATTTCCACAAAGCAGCAAACTTTTTTTATTCCACAAGAACCAGAGACTGTTTAAGCTTTTGCACAAGTGGAACCAAAGGGACTGAGAGTCCAGAGATCTCCAAAGCATAAAAAACAGGAAGAAAAAGAAACGCAGCCCAAGGGATCGCTGTCACTGCACCGGCCCCTCCAGCCACCTTCTGGGAGTACCATCTCTGCTCCCAGCCCTGCCAAAGGATGTTAGAGCAGAGGCAGAGAGAAAATCCCTGGCACCAGCACAGGTTTTGGCTTTGTGAGTAACACCGGGATTTCATTAAATACCCTGTTCCCTCCCGGAGTGCCTGGGCCTCCCTGCTTCGCTCCTCTGGTTTCTACATGACAGCTACTCCTCTTTAGCAAGCACGGCATGCCTTTCTTGGGGTTCATGTTTTCCGTCTCGTCCCCTAAAACAGCCCAGCGGAGTTCACAGGTATGCCCCTGCATTTTTCATAGAAACAGCTCAAGCGTGGGGAGATGTGACTTACGTCTACTGAGTGTTCCCTCTGAATAAGTTTCCTGGTCTCCTTTTCGCAGTGATTGAGCATTGTGTCGCAGTTTTGCGGGCCAGGTGGGGAATTTTCTGTTTGGTTTTTCTGACTGAGCTCCAGAGGGATGCTTCCATCTGGATCCACCACATCCAGCTCCTTTTCCAGCTCTTCCATCTCCTCTGGAGACAGAGTAGACAACAAACTGTCAATATCTGGATCTTCACTAACTTGTCGCCGATATTTGGCCACTTTGGACATCTTGGCTCGCTGGCGAGACACGGTTGCGGTGGTGTGTGGTACCCAAGGAAGGAGAAAAAAAAAAAAGAAGCCGAAGCTCCAACAGTGCTTCCCCCAGCAGCAGCAGGTGCTGAAGTGTTAAATCTCAGCAGCTCTCAAACGCTGCAGCCCGGGATATAGTAGTTATAAGAAGGGGACACCCCTTGGTCCAAGAGTTGGCCAATAACAGGATCCAGCCGCGATTTCGGGTGCTGGGAAGCCAATGGAGCCCAGCGGGAGGCGGGGAATGGTGCTATCAGAGGAGCCTGAAACCCGAGGACATTCCAGGGAACCATGCAGAGCTGCATGACCAAATTTAGTCCGGAGCATTTAGCCTTTTAAAGGCAATGGGCCAACCTAGTGAGAAAACACGCAAAAATGCACAAGCTGGCAGGCTGGGGACCTGGGGGTGGGGGAGGCAGATCCCTAGCATGTGCCCACTGGTGCCGGAGGGCTAATAAATCGGTTAGCGTGGCTCCGAAGAGATGAGGTGTCTCCTCTGTTACAGGAGGGGAGAGTTTCTGCTGTGACAGTGACAGCTCTTGGCTGAAATCGGCAATAAAGCGCCCACCCCAGAGAAAGATTTTCGTCTTTATCCCGCTGCTCTCCAGGATCTGTGCGGGGTTTTTTTTTCCCTTCGGGAAAGAGGTGGTGGATAGTTTTGTTGCTGGTGCAGACTGGTTTCTTTACGAAGGATGTGCAAAGTCTAGAGCCTTTGAAGAGGGGAGGAAGCAGGCAGCGAGTGCCAGCCCAGCGCTCGCCTGCTCCTCGCGCTGCAAAGTCTGACCGCAGCACCGTCCCAGGGTCGCTTTATCTGAGCTTCTGCCGATTCCTTGTCCTCTGCAGGGGTATTTCTGCCGCTGCTCTTCGTCACAACGCTCCCATTTCCTCTCACCAAGCTGCAGAGACATCCCTCCTTCCGCATAGACTAAATTCCTGAGTCTCTCCTGCTTTTGGTTCAGGCAATGCCCTAAGCCTGGGCTTTGGTTGGAGGCACCTATTTTCCATCAACCTAATCCATAAAGAAGCTTACTGGCACCTGCAAATTCTCCCAGAGGGACAGAGGCAGATAGGCTCTTCTCTCCAACTTTCAAGGCAGCTTTACCCCATGCAGAGCATTTTGTACCCATTCGTTATGCTGCCAACTTCATCCTTTTTTCTTCATCCTTTTATCATCCTCCTAATATTTACTGCCTGCTCTCAGGCCTCTCTCTTTGCTAGTCCAAGCAAGCAGCCCTTTGGTCTCCTTCAGTAAAATAAGCTCTCGTAAGACTTTCCTCGTCAGTCTAATTACCTTCTCTGCCTGTCTCCCTGGCTCAGATCCCGTCCTGAACACAGGCACAGGGTGCTTCAGGTGAGTCTCCCAATGCCTTGTTACAAACTAGACATTCCCCATCTTGATGGGAAATACACATTCTTGTTGCATTCTAGGATTTCATTTATCTCCAGCATCACAGCATCCAGTTCCTGCTCATAGCCTTCCTATGATTCACCAGCACGATTGAGATTTTTTCCAGATTGTAAAAGAAACTGTTGGGTTTAGTTTCCAAGTGCATAACCTTATACATTGCTGTGTTTCATCCCACTTCACTCCACCACATCTATCTCCCTGCTATCATGACCCTTGTCTTGGTGCTCACTTGCACCGAGGACTACGAGGGACATGGCCATCCCCTTCTTCTGGTCTCAGCCCAGACTCTTCTTCCCTCACCCCAAAACTGCCATGGCTGCAAAGGCACTGAATGCAACAGGAACCAGAGTGAATTTAGCGTATTGGTGTCCATTTGGTGTCCTCTTCGCCCTCAGAAGCCAAAGGAGCGTCTTGCTTGTTCCACCTTACTACAGCCCTGGACCTCTCTAACGCACTGTCTGGTTGCTTTTCAGGATACACAGTTCAAAAGGTTTTAACACTGTCTCTTCTAGAAGAGAAATTTGAGTCAACAGAGTCTGGGGATGGAAGAAGTGGCCAAATGCCTGGTATTTCTACACGGTGTCGCTGTGCTCAGTTACTAGGAGCAAATGGCAAGTGCTTGTAAGAGGTAAGCAACAAACTGGAAGCTCAGTTCCCAACCGGAGAGGGCATGAAATAAAGGTAGTGAGGAATCATAGCTACATGTCTCCCTCTTCCAGCAAAGATGCAAGCTTTCTTGGGTGTGCCACCCCTGGCTCCAAGGACAGGGTACGTGGACAGCCCCAGGGACAATCTGCAATGCTAAAACAGAGAAAGAACCTTTCCACTGGTGAGTAAAACCTAGTCTTTCTGTCTGTGTGCCTTTCCTTTATGACTCCTTCCTGTGTTGTAAATCGGTTTTCAACAAAATCAAATCACCTTTGACACCTTGATAGGGTCTCTATTTTGTTGTTCCTGAATCTTGACTCCTGCAACGAGAAGCACCAGTCACCGAGTTCCCTAAGAAGCTGTAAACATGACCTGGGAGGCTCCGAGTTTCTCCTGAAGAATCACACACCCTTCCCTGATTTGGGAGTCCATGTCTGCCAGGCTCTCCTCCACTAAGCTGCAGAGCTGGCTTAGCTCTGACTCTGGGAGTCCATGTCTGCCAGGCTCTCCTCCGCTAAGCTGCAGAGCTGGCTATGCAGAGGTAACACAGAGTCAGAGTTCTGCAGAGATATATTCCTTCCTTAGCCAAAAAGCCGGGAGAGAAGCAGGGGTCACCCTAAACTTGTGGTTTATAGTGGATGGTCTTACCGCAATTTATCTTGGCTGTCGCGTGTCTCTCTTTAGATGGGGATATTAGCACAGCTCTCTGACTGCACCATATTCCACAGAGTTCTCAGTGCTGTAAGAAAGAAAACACCGAAAGAAAATCTAGTGTTCTCACCCCAGAATAAGAGGAGCTCTGGATACGTCTGCACTGGCTGCTCTCGTCTGCTCTGGCTGCTCTTTCACAGGCCACCAGCAACTGGGACTGGGGACGTGTGCGGGGACCCTTGGGCCTCGCTCCGCAGCTGGCTCCAGCCACCGCGGCCTTGACGCCGGCCCTTTGAAGCTGTGCCAGTCAGGAGAGCGCGGCGCGGCGCGGTGCGGCGCGGTACGGTGTGGTTTGGCGCAGAGGAGCTCCCAGCAGCACTGAATCTCCGCCGAGGCTCCGTCAGTCTCTGTGTTTATCAGGATCCCCATCTCCATAGCAACTGAGCACCTCGGAGGCACTAATGAATATTTCTGCACAACACTCCTTTGAAACACAGCAACATGATTAGCCACGTCGTAGAGATGAGGAACTGAGACAGAGTCAGATTAAGTACTTCTTCCAGGTGCATGTACAGGGTCTCTGGCAGAGCTGGGAAAGCTTTCCATGCCCTCATCTCTCGTGCCACCACCTAGGACTGTCCGTCTTCCTTTATTTTTTCCTATTAGCTGATAAAGGACAACTGAAAAAGGAATGGATTCCTCTAATGTGTTTTATTTCCCTTGGCCTCAAAGCCTGCAGGAGGAAGGGTTAAACGCACTGATCTTTTTTTCATTTTATAAGATGTTCCTTGAGAAAGCAAGTGACATCTCCCTGCCCGGTTGGGACACACGGCTGCTCTGGAACACGTTTGTCCCGTGGCCAGTGAGAGAAACCGCTTCTCTCCCAAACCCAACTGCAACTTCACCCAAAACGTCCCTCCGCAAAACACCTGCTCATGTGAGAGCGAGGGAAGTGTGAAGACATTATATACCGGGAAAGGAACCAGCTCCCGGCTGCAGGGAAATTCAGAAAACCCCAGAAAGCCCTTGAGCACCTTCCAACAGCCTGCCTGGGGGTTCCACCAGTGCCCCCAGCTGAGCTACTGGAGGTCCCTTTGGTGACTCTGGCCACTGCAACTCAAGTACCACATGGGCTTGGCAGGGAGTTTCACAAGCTTTCCCACAGCTTGTGAGAGGGATGACCAGAATGATCGTTTAGCCTGATATAATTAACCTGCCATTCATCAGGGGAAAGGACAAGGGCTACTGCAAGAAATTGCCACTCGAAGGAGGGTCAGACCAGTGTGGGACCTGGTCTAGTGGAAGGTGTCCCTGCTATGGCAGGAACTAGATGATCTAGTTCCTAGGGGGAAGGGGATAAAACC